ATCCCATCATGCATTGCGTCAAAGGAATGAACGGACTATATGGGACGGACACCAAGACAGACTAAGGACGGACGAGGGGAGAGAGAGCAACCCGTTACAACCTGCTGTGCATGTTTAACTTATAATGACGTTTAAGTTTGTTTTACCAGCTTTTCTTTGCCGTGTAATAAACTGTCTGTTTAACGTGTAGTTGTCGGTCCCTGAAAAAATTAAAATAAATTGGCAGTTGATTTTCTCAAGTGACTCTTAAAACAAACTTCAACACATTAAAGGTTAAACGGAAAATTACTGACATTAGTAGGACATGCTGCTCTGTCTCCACTTGTCTCTCTGCCACTGTTATGTTAGTAATATGTTAAATGTGAGCAGAGCAGCACATCTCGCAACACAACACAAGCAGCCAAAGTACTTTGTAATGTTATTTATCAACTGTAGAAAAATAGTGTTTTTTCATGTTACAGATGAGCTCACTATATAGTCCTCTACTGAACTCCCTACATAGTCAGTAGGGAATGAGTGAATGATTTCAGACACAGCCAATGTTTTGGGTGGAGAATGGGCCCTTATGAGAGATTGCCACCTTGAAAATATACCTGTGTTCAAAGAAGAACTCTTGTTAAATTAAAAGCAGTGCCATTTGCTTAGGGCTGCCTCCTAATAGTAGACCAAACGTTAGTCAACCAGAAAGGTCACTAGTCGGCTAAATTCCATTGGTCACTTAGTTGCAGGAAAAAAAAACCTGAAACTCTACTAGGAGCTGCACCTTGTCAAAATAAATCAAAACCTATGTGACTGGACCATGTGGGAATTAGGGGTGAGTTCGAGTACAAAAATCTCTTAACGTTTAGAGTGGGTCATTTTTTCGTGTACACGTGTACACGGGTTTCACCACTGGGTGGTGCTATTGCATTATACCAGTAAAGCCCCAACCGAACGGGCCATTTAACCAACGGTTACAGGCCGCCACACCGAAATATCGCCATTCCGACGGTCCGCCATCCCAAATTCTGGTCCCTGAGTCCTGACAGTAAGCTATGGCGAGCCTGTAGAAGCAGTATTTCCCATGCATGTCAGCGTTTTTCCTCGGGGATGCACTCGAGTAATTCATGCTGACATTACCTGTTTTTCAGTGAACTCCTCTGGTAATTGTATTAAAAGGCATGGCATATAGGTCCACAGTAACTTATTATTATTATTGTTATTATTATTGGGTCTTATAAGAGTGGGCTACAATGAGTATCTGGCCATTAAATCATAGCATCCGTGGTGAGAGGACACGGAATTGTGTGCGCTTTTACGCACACGGGTCAAGGCGATCACGGATATTTGATGTGGGAAAGATGTAGCCAGATTTATTAGCTGTTTTTAAGCGGCACCGAGATACGTGGCTCGTCTGTCTGACCGTCCGTAGCACGAGTCATGTGCACCACTTCACCACCAACTTGTGTGTAAAAGCGCAAACAATTCCGTGTCCTCTCACCGCGGATGCTGTGATTTGATGGCCCGGAACTCATTGTAGCCCACTGGCGAACGACCCCCTTAACGACCGCGCCTTTTTAATAGAACGGAGCACGTACGCTACTGACCTGTTGCTAAACCCGGTCTCACACCATTTCTTGTCATTTTCACAGTCTATCACAGTTAGTCAACAATTAGTATCAAAAATTTGTTTTTCGTGTACTAATTTTTCATAACCGTTTATGATCTCAAACACGTGTAAACGTGTACACGGACTCACCCCTAGTGGGAGTTAAATTTGAAAGGACAGACACAAGAAGTGGCCACGCTCAGCAGTCAGACAGGAGTCAGGTCAGGCAGAAATCCAAAGTGTGGGATCATTTTGAAAAGGTGAAGGACGAACCAAAGGAGATATGTAAACTCTGCAGACAAACATTTGCCTATCATTGGTTGACATCATGACATATTAAGTTGCGCATAATTAAGGGCGGGCCCCTTTGACTGACAGGCTGTCTTTCTGATAGAGTCCACAAACCAATGGGTGACATCACAGTAGCTATGTCCATTATTTTTACAGTCTTTATTGAACACAATATTGTCTTGCTCCCAGTTTGGTAGCACTGTAAAGAGCAGCCACATCTAATTGACTGCCACACAGCAGAGCCCCACATAAGGATGATGCCTGCAGCAGGCCCTTCTTGTGATCCACCAGACCCCAATGAGTGACAAAGCCTTGTTTTCATCAGGAGTCCCGTTCTGTTCAGTTTGGTACACATTAAATTGGTTATTTTGCCATTTTCATCTTGAAAAATTGTGGATGATATGTCCATTATTTTTTACAGTCTATGCTCTGTGTAAATAATCAAATGTTCTCCCTGATGTGGAGACACCACAGAGATCTCGCTGGCTTTTTGGTTAAACACGGTAAAAAAAAAAACTCCCTCCTCAGTGACAGAATCTGTTGATAACGTCAGGGTGGTTGATGATGTTAGCTTCCCCAAGGATCACAAACCAAAAGGTTTTTGGACCTTTTTACTCCATACCGCTTTCTTGATGGCAAATAAGTAATCCCAAGCCTCATTTTGTTCTGTCGAAACAACAAGTAAGGTGGTCCTGCAACCTATGGCTGCACTGCCACTTGGACACCAGCAATGCAGTGCGTGTCCTATCTGTCAGGCACCACATGACTACCCCTACATCTGTGCACTATTCTGCTCAAAACATCTCATAAACTTGCCAAAAAAAATACATCGTTAGAGAACATCACCCAAGATGCTGTGTCTTAGAGCTGGTTCAGTGCTGCTGGTCTAACTTACTGTCGTCAGGTTTTCAGATTAGCTCTTGAATATATGTCGATTGAATGTGTGCATTATAAAGAGCCTTAAAGGCCTTTTGTCTGCTCTACCCGGTAATTAAAGTGCAGCCAGTGACAAACAAAGCAATAAAACAGGCAGATATTTGCCTGAGTCAGGACAGTGTGAGTCTGTAGGTCTGCTGGAGCTGAGAGAGCTGCCCGCTTAAGTCTGGACGAGGTTTCAGAATTTATTTGAGGTACAACTGCAACAAAACCTTTTCCTTTCAATACACAAAACAAATGCGTGATTCTCAAGTAATGAAAACAGCTTAATTATGGGATTAATAGTCTCGCCACCAGACAGTCAGAGATCTCCGCCTTCTGATAGTCTGGGGACACTCCTTTCTAAAGTCTGTTTAACACACCGGCGAAAATGGCCGGCAACAAAGCAACGCCTCTTGCATTTTTGAAAAGGACACGCCTTCTCGGAAATGTGCGCTCCTCCTTTTCTCGTCCGCAAGGAAACAAACACACAGAGAGCTTGAAAATGGATGCCGAGAGATTAAACTCCGTTTTATCAAACGTGTGCTCATCCGTGAAGAAAATATTTTTTCCAGCGGATATCTTAGTTATAACATGATTGAGCTAACTGGAGTAGTTTCATGTCGTATCCAACAACGGGAGGCTTTTAACAGATGACGTCCTGATGTTAGCTTTGTTGCTAACTTCGTGTTAGCTGTCCCTGTCAGCTGCAGCCACTGATGCTTTCTAGACATCGTGATTTCCCAAAACTGAATAAATACCACACATAGCAACACAAAACTTCTTTGCTAGCTAAATCATGTTGTAACTAAGATATCCGCTGGAAAAGATATTTTTTTCACGGACCGTTTAATGAGTTATTATCTATTACAGACATCGCTAACGGCTAACAGGGCTAACAGCTAACGGTTAGCCCAGCTAAACGTGCACACAGAAATAGTAATGTTTGTTCAATCATTGTGTTTATGGACTTTACAAACATCGGATTAGTCTAAACTGTGATACAGTGATGAGAAAATGTGATATATATACATACATATATATGTATGTGTGTGTATATATATATAACTAAAAGCTCTGCTGGTTTTCCACCCGGAAGTATTTGTAAACAACAAGGCGATTCCCTCTATAGTCCGGCCAGACGGATGAGTCATGGCCTTGTAAAATATTATGTTTGTTTCTTTTAGTTGGCGAGAATGTGTCGCCGCAAACGCGACAAACATCCACTAACTTTGACGGCGTTTTCTGCGAGCGTGACTTGAGCCATTTTGTACCACTACACGTGTTTCTAGTCGGACTATGTTTACGAGCACAAGAGTTCAGCGAGCCACCAAAGGACCGCCCTGCAGATTTATTATTGGTTCTGCAACGTAGGGAGTTTTTTTAAACTCTGAAATTGTATCCGCCCATCTAAACACAAAATCAGGGAGAAAGTAATCAGTCTTTAGTTAAGCAAAGCGTCTAAAGACTGACTTGTGAGTCTATGGGGTTAAAGACTGGACTCATGACGGCACAATGACGGATTTACCGATGATATAATTGGGACGGCGACGTCACACTGAGACATTTGTGGAAAACTTTTTAAAAATAGCCTAAATCAAAAAGAGAAACTTTTGAAAGCAGCTGTTGCAGTTGTGAATTTTCACTCATAATTTGAAAAAAGAGTTGCCAATAAAGGCAACAAAGACAGCTTAAATTGTTGAGAGAACGTTTGGCAGACCAGACCCCAAACCTTTTAATAACACGTTACTATTTCCCCAACCATCGGACATTGTTATGTACTTGTAATCAAAAGACATGTTTCATTTTGCCATTTTTGGGAAAAGTTGGTAAAGTTGTGGTAAAGAGCATTTAAATCACATGCAAATTGCACTGCCAAATGTTACATTAAGTCTGTATTCTTATGGTATTTTAGTTGTTGAGATAACTTTCGTTTTATCTGTGTTGAATACCATTCCAGAATTTAATTTCAATGTATAAATGATGTACATAGTTTTGTTGATACAGATCTGAAAAAATCATATTCAGCGTCAGTAATTTTAATAGCAAACTGTTTGTAAAATGTTGTTAAATTATAGCCTAAACAATATTTTAGCAGACTTATTAAAGTTGTTGCACAAAGTAAAACTTTTGTATACATTTAAACATCAGTTAAATGGTGATTGAAATGATTGCAGAAAATTAACCCATCCTCTCATTGTTTCAGATGTTATTGATGATCCCATCCTGGAGCAAGGAGCAGTGGTCCTCAGAGGGTAAGTCTCATCATAATAACTTTATTATAATTGTATTACATATAGGCCTATATTTTATCTACAAGTGCACATCACACACTGAGTGAGCCGCCTGTTAATGACGCTGTCGGCTAATGGGCATGTAGCTACTTCCATGTTTCAGATGATACGTCATGTTTGTAGTCGACACTTTAAATTTCCTGCCCGACATGTTATTAACTAGCCTGTGGAATAACCGCAGGTACCAGCCCTGGAAATTAGGGGCCGTACACATGCTGCGTCTTAAACTGCCTAGAAAACGCGAGGTCAGGCGGCGGGTGCTACTCTCGTGCCTCTTTTGTGGCAGCTTTCAAGAGCCCTGCGGCAGGTTGCGTCAGAAGTTGCTAAGCAACCTTAACAAGCATCCTATAGCCTATTTACCTGAAATCCCTAGTGCAGAGCTGATCTTCTTCCAGGAGCTCTTTATAAGTGTGTAGGCCTATCGTCTGTGGGACAGATGTAAAGCTCTGGGTAGCCCTGCACTAACATGATCAACTTTTCCGTATTTATCAGACTGAATATTTACAGAAGAAGGGAAAGATATCTGTTGGCTGTGATTGGTTTGTAACCTGACTCCTGTCTGACTGCTGAGTGTGGCCACTTCCTGTATCTGTCCTTTCAAATTCTCACATGGTCCAGTCATACAGGTTTTGGCTTATTTTGGCAAGGCACTTTTTTTTTTTTTTTCCCTGCGACTGAGCGACTAATGAAATCTTATTGACTAATGACCTTTCTGGTCGACTAACATTTGGTTGACTGTTAGGGGACAGCCCTTATTATTTATATTGGTAGTAGTAGTATTTAATAATGATAATAAACTTTATTTATACAGCACTTGCGTTGGGTTGGGTTACAGCAAATGGGTTCCTGGTTTGAACCTGGGGTGGGGCGTTTGAACCCTGGGGTCAAGGAGCCACCTCAGCTTCCTCCCACAGTCCAAAGACATGCAGGTTAACTGGTGACTCTAAATTGTCCATAGGTGTGAGTGTGAATGGTTGTTTGTCTCTATGTGTCAGCCCTGTGATAGTCTGGCGACCTGTCCAGGGTGTACCCTGCCTCTCACCCAATGTTAGCTGGGATAGGCTCCAGCCCCCCCCGTGAGTGCCTACTCACCACTTCTACAGGGTTGGAGCACTGGTTGCAGGAATTTTTTCAAGTTTAGGCTGATCTGGGTTCAGATAATGTGCTTCTCATGCTGCCAGCCTTCACCCAGATATTGGATGCCCCTCCAGTCTCAGACTTTCACTGTAATCAATAAGTATGCTTGTGTCTCAAAGGACACTGAAAGACTGAAAGTTTACATTTTTCCAAGTCCTAAATATTAACATGTCCATCTGTACTTCAAAGATTTATTGGTTTCTATAGTCACTCCGTTTGTTTACATTGACTGTAGAGAGACCCCTTACTAAAGTGATTTCCATGTTAGTGATGGAGGACCAAATCCACAGTCCTCATTCAGAGTTAAAGGCATTCTGAAGCGAAAATGAGTCCTTAACAGTCTGAATTACGTAAATCAAGTGGGAATCTGTCAAAGTCAGTTTTTTTTTTTTTGCTCTGTCCTAGGTATGTGACTCAACGCATAAACGCAGAGGAGCCTGGTCGACACGTGTCCGCTGAGCATCTGGGAGGAAGGCCAAATGAACAACAGGATCCACAAATCAAAGAAGTGGTGAAACATTTAATCAAGATTGCAGATGACATTAACAGGAATGTTGAACTCCAACGGTAAGCTCCACATCATACAGACACAACTGGTGGACACTTTAAAAGCTGTTAAATAGTTTTAAACAAGACAAAACATACACACAAAGTCTCAGGGAAACTAAGGGCAATTTAATGTTGTGGAGTGGAGGGGCAAGTTTGCTGGTGTTAGCTGGGAACATGGCGGAGCTTACCAATGTTAATAACATCTAAAGTGTTAGAAATGTAGTTGTTTCAAGGTGCCAATATAGGACCTCTAAATTTAAACAGTAAAAATACTCAATTCTGAGTCTTTCAAGATGTCTTTACTTGAAATCTATCAGTCACTGTCAGGATTAATCTCTCGAGTTCAGTTTTTTTGTATGATTAAAGTATCTTACTTTGAAAATTGACAGTATTGTTGAAATAGTATGGAACACAACCGGGCCCCAAACAGCTACACATTAACTGTGATGTTTATATATGAAAAGTGAATGAATAATCTTTCTATTTCATTGTATTTTGAAATAATGTACAGAAGGTTCCCAAAGTATGCAGTTCAGCAGTATAATGCTTACTTACTGTGTACTTCTACTGCTGCTTCAGAGGAAAACATTTACCTTTTCTTTCACTTTTCACTTTAAGTAAAAATTCAAATGCAGGACTTTTATAGTGTGGTTTTAAATAGTTTTATTGTAGTTCTATAATTGTTATTATCATAGTTTCAGGACAAAACTTTTTGATCACTTCTAACTCTGCCTGATACCAACATTCAGTTAGTGAAATGTGAAAAGTAAAGCAAGATGCCTGGGGACCCAAAATCACTAAATCCACCACTGGAAAACACTCAAGTCCACTGACCGGCTACCTGTTCAGAAGCACAGGTGAGGTACACTTAGTGGGGGCATTCATTCTAAATAGGCATATTAGTCACTTGCTTAGTCGTAACATTCTTCAAATCCCATCTCAAAACCCACCTGTTCAAACTGGCCGATGACACCGACTCCCATGTGCGCATGGCAAGAAAGGAGAGGGAGAGACGCTGTGCTGCTGCCAGAGGAACCGCTGAATGAGTTCCCTCTGAGCGGTAACTCGCTAAAAGAGTCTGAGAGGTCCAGGGCTGTTCATAAAACATTCAGGACGCCACAGTTTATTCCACACTACTGAAGCTGCTCCTCTTTTTGGAACCACTGCGGAGTCCGTAATAATTTCTCTGTTGTTGCCATGGGTAACAGTATGACGTCAATATGTCAATAATTCGAAATATTACGGGTATCATGAGATGAATTTTTCATATCCTATTAAAAATTATACTAGTATTATTGTGAATGAGATGATATGGCACACCTGTACTGCATGCCCTTGGGTCCCCAGCAACAAACCTGCCAAGTGTGAAGTAGACTGGATGACCAGTTCTCGATATGTGCAAAGGACAGTCCCACCTACCTTTCTTCCTTGCCTTATAGTTAGATGGACGTGGAGATAGGTTATAGGACGCAATTTATGAGGTTCGGACCTTTGCTGGGAGGGAATTCAAGTAACTGGACCTCTTCGTATTTTAACTGAATACCTATCTGTTGTACAGTGAAACAGCTGTGCCAGAACACATCTACAATAAACACTACTTGTGATGCAGAACAAATTTCAGAGAAATCTGCCAACAGGTGAAATTGAATGCATTTTTCTATCCAACTCTGTCCATTTCTTCCTGTCAGACTGATCAACCAGGTTCCGAGCAACTGTGCTCAGGACATCTTCATGAAGGTGGCCAGGAGCATCTTTACTGATGGCATCAACTGGGGTCGAGTGGTGGCTCTCTTCCATCTGGCCTACAGACTCATACACAAGGTAACACACGGAAACAGATTCCTCACAGAGCAGCTCTTAGTAACAGGGCTGCATTCTAGATTCTAGATTTTTAAAGTATGGTACCGTTTTTTTATTTAGATGCTATTACCCAGTGGTATGCGGATGGTTACCTATTGGGGTTCAACTGATGGTCTCCACTGCATGTTTTCTAGGGATGCACCGAAATGAAAATTTGTGGCTGACGCCAAAGCCGAATATAATAAGCGCTTGGCTGAATACCGAGTACCGAATACTGAATATTGTTGTTTAGTTTTTCATTAGTTTTTGCAGATGAACCCCCTCCAGATTAGTGTTGTCACGGTACAAAAATTGGATCCCACTGTATGATACCAATGAAAATATCATGGTTCTGAGTAGTATCACGATACCATAGCGAAAATGAGGCCGATGTGCCTTTTGTCATTTATAAAAAGATAAATCACTTTTCTATAATACATCAATGATATTTCAATGGAATAAATTACTTATTGACTTATTCATACTTCAAAAACAGCATCAATAAGTGATTAACATAGGGGGGATCAAAATAAAATGAATAAATGAAATAAGAATCAACCAGCCACCCTCCTCCCCTGACAAGTCCCTTCATAAGTAAAGAATAGTCCCTAAAGTGCGGTGACGTTTGTGGGCCGTGAACGGCTCGTTTCTCCTCTGACACGTCACATACCTGTGTTCGGCTGGCTCGGCTGTTCAGGTACTTTTGGGCAGTCCACACGCCAAGAAGAGGATATTATTGGAGCCGACTCCTCCGTCGCCGGTAAGCCTATGGCCTCCGTTTTTGACAGGAATACATTTCTGTCTGTGACCCCCGTTCAACCCACAATCGTTGGGATTCGCCTTTCGTTTCTGCTGGTGGTTGAAATCTGTAGGCTGCTCGCACAGCGTGCTGAATGATTTAAGCCTATTTTGCTCGCTCAAAACTATTTTTAGTCGCAAATGCGAGTGCGGTGATGGACAGATCGCCACACTGCCGACATTTTACTCCGCCGGTCGCAGCACGCTGTTTGATTGCGTTATCAAAACACGCCGCTATTATTCAGCCTTGCTTTAAACTTATTCCACTGAATACCGAATGTGTGTTTTTTTGCAATATTCAGCCGAATATATTCGGTTACCGAATATTCGGTGCATCCCTAATGTTTTCATAAGTGGAACTATTATTTTTAGGTCAGAGTAACTACTTTTGTTGGACGATATAATGTCCCAGAAATAATTGCAATAAACGATACTGACAGACCATTATGCCTCTGATATCATGGTAATATAATGGCATGACAATGGAAGTGTGTATTTTAAGAGTGATGACCTTTTAATTCTTTTGAATATTCAGATATTAAAATTGAAATATGAAAGAACATTTAATATAATTTTAAAAAGTAATTAACCCCTGTCACATACAAGAAAGTACATATCAAATTATAGTACTTTTATAGGAGTAGCCCTAAATTACTTAGTTTGAGACTAACATAAAATGTGGCTAACAAAATAAAAACCAAGTGATGCCCCTTGGGTCTAATAGACAAGCTTGGCTTCGGCTTCAAGGATGGACGGCCTGGGAGTCAGGTGGTTTTTAATGGATAAACATAATGGAGGATGAAGTTGTTGGAGGGTAAAACTACAAACACTGACTTTTTGGTATGGTGCTAGGATTGGTGTGTGTGTGCGGACTTAGCAAATGAGCTCATGGCACTTGCTGCACGGGCGAAGCCAAATAGCATTCATCTGATTGAAATCGGCAAAGTTTACCTTTGATATTTTTCAAGGTTTAACCAGCACAGCCAGACAGAGCAGCTGTATACTGTCAGAGCTCGGTGTTTTGAAAGCAGGAAGGACCGATAAATGCATCATGTAAAGTGTCATATCATCTCTGCTTTCTGTAGGATCTGCAAAGATTTTCCCTAAACTCTTAAACTGTATTATAACTGGACCAAAACATCAACTGTTCCCATGAATCAGGGAGAACGCAGCACTTAATTCAAGGAAATGGGCTTCAAAGGGCTTGTTACAGAAGATGAGCTGAACAAAGTTGTCACTCACCTGTGCTTTCCTATGCTGTGACAAGAGTGTGTGAATGAAACATTAAGTTGATGTTACTCCTGCAGCAGCTGGCTAGTTAGCTAGCTTACTAATTCCACCATGATATTGAGCCACACAGGTTACAGAAAATGAGGAATACAGTAAGGGGCTGTACACATGCCATGTTTTTTTTGTGCCCTCAAAAAATGCGACGGGCATGCTCAAATGCCAGAGCGATGCCATTGCGGTGCGCACACATTCCCGAGTGCCTGTTTTTGAAGGCATGATGGCTGTGCCCTGAGATAAACAGAGTTCACCTTTGGAACGTAGCAGCGCACATCGCATGTCATGTGACGAGGAACCACACAGTCAGCAGATATCTTTCCCTTCTACTGTAAATATCAGTCTGTGGTAAATATGAAAAAGAGGTTTGTCAATTTAGTGCAGGGCTACTACAGCTTTACATCTGTCCCATGGACAATATTCTAGGCCTAATACAAACTTATAAACAGCGCCTGGAAGAAGATCACCTCTGCACTTTCACCAGGATTTCTGGTAAGTAGGCTATGATTCGATGCTGGTTATCATTGCTTAGCAACCTCAGACGTAACATGCCTCTGCCCCCTTGAAGGTTGGCACAAAGTAAGCACAAGAGCAACACCCAGCGCCGGACTTGGCATTTTCCAGGCAGTTCGATGCGGCGTGTTTACAGCCCCCAGCACAGGACTGTCAGCATCCACGACTTTGTCAGCGCCTATTTATTTCAAAAGAGCAATGGCCAATGGGGAAACACCAACTCTCACATCATCACTCACTCCAACCAGTGGTGTAGCTTCATCACTCACTCACTCACTCACTCACTCACTCACTGGCCTTGCCTCGGTCCAGCCAAAACATACATACCGCCCAAGCCTAGTGCCTAGTGCCTAGAGCCTAGTCAACAAACAGACTGAGGCCTCAGACCAGTGTGCAGTCTGTTCCCTTCAGATACTTTAGATGTACTACATTCACTGTGAGATAGCCTGAGCAGCTCGCCACTTGGAGTCACAACAGTCGTAAACTCTGTGAGAGAAAAAATCTGATTAAATGGATTTAGTCCCTGTGCCTCTTTATTCGTCATCCTCACATTATACACAGAAGTCTGGCTTCAGTAGCTATTACCTTCTGAGTTAAAATTACAGGTCGTCTGGTTTTTGTTTTAAAGGCACTGACCACCAACCATCTAGAGAACATCAGAACAATCATCAGCTGGGTTCTCCAGTTCATCAGAGAGAACATCTACCCCTGGCTCGTACAGCAGGGAGGCTGGGTGAGTGATGCATTGTCCATAAAGATCTATCATTCTTCCAAGATGGTATTATGGTCTAATGTAAGGACTTGTCAGTAGGAGCCAAAGCCCTTAATCTTGCTTTCTTGATCTTTCCAGGCGGGTGTGATCAGTGGTGTATCTCGGTGGAGGACAGCAGCCTTAGTAGCATCAGTAGCATTGGTAGTAGCTATTGTTTACTACAGAAAGACACGCTGAGAGCACTGGACCTTACCACCTCACAACCAGGGCTACAGTCCCGTCTACTGGATAAACGCAACTCATTGATAAAGACTAAAGAGTTTTTGGACATTAATTACAACCACTCCTCAACCACGATCTCTTCAACCAGAGGAGGTCAAGTACTGTACTCAGAGGGGGGAAACCTCTTCTCTTCTCTTCTCTTCTCTTCTCAGGATTCCAAGAACAAAAAAGTGCCTTTACAACCAGAGGTCTACTGGGATCTCCATCATCCTTCACCAGCAACTGTATGGAAGTACAAGAGCTGCTGCAGCACACCTTCTAGCAGCCACATTGGAGCTCTGGGTGGGGTTCGGCGTAAAAATTTCTCTGGGTCTTTGGTCTAAGCAAAATTTGAACTAGACCTGAGAAGACATAAATAAACCTGAAAAATAGTTTGATGACAACAGCCCTTTTTAGATCAGATACAAATTGTCAGTCTTCGGAAGACCTCAAATGAGCCATCTCAACAGAATCCAAACGACTTGTAAAGTGGAAAAACACACTGGTAAAAGAAGTATAATAATTCCCATTTTAAAGTTTTCTTGTTATACTATCCCTCACATGAAACCACATGAATGTCCCGGCTAATGTAAAGATACCATAGGTTTATATTGTGGCCATCAGCTGTAATTATATCAGCTTTGTTTTTAAGAAACCATGTTTTTCCATCGGTTAGTAGATGAACCTCAGTCACTGTGGCTGTGAAAAGAAAGCCAAAAGGCACAAATCAGAGATGTGGTGAATTCAGAGCGCTTCATTGTTGCAGCAGACCTTTTTAACAGCACACTCTTTGGCATGTCATAGCACAAAAAGCACTGGTGCCACATTAACAATGGCTGCACACCATTTGCTCATTCCAGGGCCCTTGCATCATTTAATTATATTGTTAATGAAATGATTTGCACACAAAAAGCTCCATTGCCAACAAAACACAGTGTCTGAGTAGCCTGAATCTGAGAGTGAAATAATTTTAACTGCTTAAGGTATTATCAGATTTTTTTTTTTACAAAACGTAATCTTAAATTCAAGCTCAGTTATTGGGCATTTCTTACTGAAATATTTCTTCAGGGATGTTGTCGACTTGCCTCCTTCAGTTATCATATAATAAGCAGAAAGGACATCGACCTATTTGCTGGGGTAATTTGACTAGTTCAAAAGAAAATGGCGATTGTTGTTAGTAGCCATGCTGACAGCACACATCAGTTGTTAAGGCCACGTGTTCACCACAGCGTTTTTTTCCAAGCTGAAAATGCCAGGCACTCTTCAGGAAATGCCTAGCTGGGATTGTTTGGGAGCGCGGTTGCGTCTGGGTGCTATGATACAAAATATCCGCAGAAGTATACACGTCGGCACAAGGTGGAGAACTTGCTCTGGATGAGGGGAAAGGTGAAGCCCACCAGGACCCACCAGCCTGTGTGGGTTCATGAGAGGACACATTTATTAATATCTATTCAGCATATTAACATATTCCTCCTCCACTGTTGTTGTTGACAGTGACGAGCGCAGCGTTTTACCTTAAGTTACCTAAATTTTTCAACATTCAGCGCTCAGTGCCTCAGCATGCTTCTGGCATTTGTAAGGTAGCATAAGTACGATGCGCCCCCATTGCAAATAATTAAAAAAATTCACTGGGCTCAGAAAAAAAACGCTTTGGTAGACATGGCCCCCAACTCACTATTAAACACCCTTCGTTCAAACTCAAGAGAAACTAAACACAACTCACCCAAACTGATTTTGTTAGCAGTCTTTCCACTGTTTCAACAATCACCAACTCAGGTTTGGTCAAAATTAAATGTTTATTTACCAAGTTAGATACGAAAATATGCAGATCAGCACACTGTTTATCTCCGCTGTCTCTCTCTGCCTCTCAGCTGTCAATTCAGCAGCTGCCGACTGAGCAGCGCCTCTTACTCAGTCTTCAGAGGCAACCAAAGTAAATCATGTTTCAACAAACATGAGCAACAAAATTAAAAAAAAAGGGAAATACAATATTATTTTAAAGGTAACAGATTGCTTATTTGAAAACGTACTCCACTGCTCATTACTGCAAAACCTCACCTCAGTGAGTTCACGACTTGCCGCACGTTGGTTTGGTTTTACGGAAGTTAGCCCGCTACAATGGTTGAATAGGCAACAGTACACATAATAATGGCCACCACTCCGTCTTTCCAGCTATGTTGATTTGAATGAAAATGTCCGCTCTGTTTTTATTTGCCGTTGACTATCTATAAAAAAATACAGATATTTTCTATCAGGGTTGCTAACTTTTCTACTGATAATTGAATGAGAGAGTTTCATGTCCATCATTCAACCATCTAATGTTGTTTAAGCAGAAAATAAATGGGACTTCCAGAAGCCATGGCACTGGGAATAAGTTCTCCCACCACACAACTCCTACAACTAGTGTGGTGAAGTTCTTTTAGAGGGTGAGATACTTTATTGCTGGTGTTGATTATGTGTTTACATTCAATCTAGTAGCTAATGAACTGTGATCAGCTGACCATCACTGTGCTGTGAACACACCTCAGTTGCACACTGGCTGTTAAAAACACTGATGGAGCATTTACAGCCGAGGTCGTGTAATCCTCTGTACCAGCAGTTAGAAAGCTCATTTCTGCTGCTTCTGTCTCTCTGTAATTGTCTTCCTGTTGTGTGTGAATGTGGTTGGTTGATACATGTGTCAAACATTGGGTTGGGTGGATTTTTATATACCTTCCTGCTTTTATGTATACAGTATATGACGGTATGGCTGTTTACAGTCCTGTAACGTTATTCCACGAATGTATTGAGAGACCTGGATACAACATTGGCAGTAGGACCCGGTTCATCCCTGTGAAAGTTGCTCAGTGGTCCGTGAAGCCAAAAAAGCTGTATAACTGCTATATGAAATTACCCGGCTGATTAGCACCTCTTCCCATCATTGGGCCCTAGGAGCAAGCACACTAGAGACTTCTACCGGCCAAGCTGGCTATTTCCAGTTTAGTGCTTTGCTAACTTCAATGGGGATGAAAAATAATTTATTCTGGAGGCTCTTTTAGACTTTCCAAAGGTTATCGTACCAATCAGATTAAATCCTGATAGTCAAAAGAGTAGTTTCGTGGGGGTTTTCACACTCAAGAAATGTATCTCCTCTATCTTATAGTCTCTTTCCCAATCAAAGTCTATGGGGAAAAGTCATCTTAGGCCCAATGACATCACGTGACGGGATGCTTAATGTTATTCCACTGTTTGGCCACTTCTAAAATTGGCCTCAAAGCCCAGCACACTTCATTTGGGCTTGCGTTATCCCCACCACTTGCAGTCAGCTGCCTGTTCCACCAAAAGAGACTGACCTCTAGTGGCGCATGCCATGCACTACATACAATACATTCTCAATACAGCATCTCCATATCAGTTTATTTAAGGAGTGTCTGTATTTTTGACGGTATTGGAAATCATACCATTAGGATTTCTGAATACCCTGGTATACTGTAATACTGTGATACTGTCCAAGCGCTGCATGATAGTCATTTGACTGAGGAATTCAGCAGCCTGGAAACTACTGTTAGCCTTGGATGCAGATTTAGGACCCACTGTCAAATCAGTCTGACCACCAAAACAGGAAGATGCTATTTATGGCACCAAGTACAGACGAATAAGAGAGGCAAAGGCAGCAGAACAAATGTTCAAACTTTAACCTGCTAATGGCAAACTGAGCAACAACCTACAGCAGCTGTTGGTCAGAATGTTGTTCTGTCACTAAGTTGCACAAGAGATGGAAGTAGAGACTTTTTTCTATCTTTCTTTTCCATTTGGTGATGTTTAAGGAACAATCATAAAATGCTTAAGTGGACGACAGTTGACTTCTCAGATTGAGATAGTTAACTATCTGCATGTAAAGACATGAAGCTCATTGTAAGAGTTGCTTTTACTTAGAACATGACTGGAGACCCAACTTCACGGTCATCATGATTATCATTTTCCAGCCTGGTTGCTTGTTGCAGTATTTCAACTTTATCGTCACACACTTCTCCAACGGATTTTTATAATGAACAGATGTGGGTAGTTTTTTTAAACCTGTAAAACCTCTGTGACTGTAAGACTAAAAGAACTATGCCTTTTAGTTTGAAACTTGTAATAATCTTCAATTAGAGTCTTAACATATGAGGAGCAGGACCAGTTTCTAAGTACATGAAATCTTTCTTCACAGTTCTGTAGTTAATAGATAAAGAAATAATTATTTAAAGTAGCGCTTTGTGCTTATTGCAGTTTATAAGGGTCAGATGATTTTATGGATGATTTCTAGGGGAACAGTCAGTGGCTTGTAGCAGACCTCGGTGCTGTTACCTAGTGCCACATTTGCTTTTGTCAGGTTTTTTGCTTCCAAATTGATCGTGTACTTTTGAGAGGGATATCACACTATTTATCTGCTGTTCTGTGGTGTTTTTTTTTTTAAATGTAATGATTATTTTATTGTTAGATTAACAATCTCATTGGACTTCATTTCTGTGAATAAATTAAAAACATGTTATAACACTCATCGCCTGCTGTGTGGATGTTACGAGTCAGCTGCCTTTATTGTTGTTGTAACACACTTTTGTGCACTAGGTGGCAGTAACCTACAGTGGAATTGCATTTATACAGCCACATGTTGCAGGCCAGGGGAAGCATACAGGGGTTCATCTCAATGTCCCTCCTCAACTACTCTATCCTCTGTCCTCCATCATTTGACATGGTAATCCATCGGTCTTGTAGGACATCCAAAGTCACTGAATGTGCTCGGAGGAGTCGAGAAGAGAGGAAGCAAGGATACTCAAGTGCAGCCTTCGCGGAAGTCTTTTACAGACAGCTGATTGGTCTCAGTTATGGTCTTAGCAGGGATAGTACAAAGTACTGCATTCACATCATCTAGCGGACTTTCAGAGGGTACTTGGTTATCAGCTACAAGGGTGCCGGGTTACCAGCTTATCCATGAGTTTCAATTCAAGGATCATTTGCAGTGGTTGTAAGGGAATCTGCGTCATTAAGGCTTGTTCTCAGAGTGTGGGTATGATGACATCCCCACTTTGACCTGTCTCCCTGGCTCCCCCTTGCCGTAGCACTGTAGCATGTTTGTTGTACTTCATCAGTCTCTACTTGTGATAGCAGTTGCCGTTTGTGGATGTCAGAACACTGGGCTAGGAGTTGTTTCTTTGTCAGCCTAGATGTCAACCTCTGCATGTAGCCCCTCTTTCTGGGGTTTCAGTTGTGTTCAAAAAATAGCAGTGTGTTTAAAAAAGTGAGTAAAACCCAAAATCCTTACAATAGCTTTTATTTCCATACACGCAAATGCATTGGGAACACTGCACATTCAATCCCAAATCAATATATGAAGAAAAATTTGTCAAATTTGTTGTTACTTCACAGAAAGTGAAGAAAAAAGGAATAATAGGTTGTTCAAAAAATAGCAGTGTCAGCATTTTTCTTTACAAACTCAAACATTTACTATATAAACTGAAAAATTCTCGAAGATTTATATTTCCTGTGAATCACTGAGCTAATATTTAGTTGTATGACTGCTGTTTCTGAGAACTGTTTCACATCTGTGTTGCATGGAGTTGACCAACTTCTGGCACCTGTGAACAGGTGTTCCAGCCCAGGACGATTGGACTGCATTCCACAATTCCTCTGCATTTCTTGGTTTTGCCTCAGAAACAGCATTTTTGATGTCACCCCACAAGTTTTCTGTAGGATTAAGGTCCAGGGATTGGTCTGGCCACTTCATAACGTCAATCTTGTTGGCGTATTTGGAGTCGTCTTGTTGAAACACCCATTTCAAGGGCATTTCTTCTTCAACAAAAGGCAACTTGACCTCTTCGAGTATTTTGATGTATTAAAACTGATCCATGATCCCTGGTATGCGATACTGAAAATAGGCCCGACACCATAGTATGAGAAACATCCCCATATCATGATGCTTCCGCCACCATGCTTCACTGTCTTCACAGTGTACTGTGGCTTGAATTCAGTGTTTGGGGGTCATTTGACAAACTGTCTGCAGCCCCTAGACCCAAAAAGAACAATATTGCTTTCATCAGTCCACGAAATGTTGTGCCATTTCTCTTTAAGGCCCTGACACAACAAGCCGACAAAAGAACTAGCGGCGATGAAGCCGACGAAGCCGACTGTTCCGTCATCTACGTCTAGGCCAGTCAAAGTGTTCTTTGGCAAATTGTAACCTCTTCATCATGGCGTGTTTGCAACAATGGGACTTTGCCGGGGCTTCTTGCCAATAGCTTGGCTTCACATAGGCGTCTTCTAATTGTTACAGTATTCACAGGTAACTTTAGACCTTCTTTGATCTCCCTGGAGCTCATCATTTGTTGAGTCGTTGCCATTTTGGCTATTCTTCAATCCATTAGAATGGTAGTTTTCTGTTTTCTTCCACGTCTTTCTGGTTTTGGTTGCCATTTCAAAACGTTTGAGATCATTTTAGCTGAGCAGCTTATCATTTTCATCACTTCTTTATATGTTTTCCCCTCTCCAATCAACTTCTTAATCAGAGTACGCTGTTCTTCTGAACAATGTCTGGAACGACCCATTTTGCTCAGATTTTAGAAAGAAATTCACTATAACCAGCAGGAACAACATTTGCGGCCTTCATCTTTAAATTAGGGCCACCTGTTTGACACCTGTTTTTTACATAATGAATGACTCGCTAATTGAACTCCATACTGCTATTATTTTGAACACACTCCTTTCAATTAATGATTCAGTTACACAGAATCAGCAGCATGCATGTCATGACTGTAGTTTTCTATTACATGGCACCCACTAGTAAATTATTTGCCATGTAGGAATATAATTTCTACCCAAAACAGTGACTGATCTGGTTAGTGATGTTGGACTGCTATTATTTTGAACACAACTGTACTTGTATAGTAACATTCCAACAGGTCCATATTCTCATGAGGTGATTTGCATGACCATTTATGGTTGAACTAGGGCGTGTAGAGGGCGGAATATGAGGCGGATCTGGGTGCGCCCAACTCCAGGAGGTCTGTGATTTATAAAGAGAACATTGCGTGCAAGTGTGCGTGCACACGGTTTTATAAATCAGATTATTTTTTGGCGTACGCCATTTTCAGCTTTTGGGCGCACGTCAACTCTTAGTATGAATCCTAAGCACTCTTTTATAAATGAGGCCCCTGGTTACCAGTGCAGGTGAGAACACACTGCAAGGTACAAAATACAATATGAAATACACAATCACTACCTTATAAAGTGACCAGGTCACTGGTGCTGATGCCTTCCAAAGAGGAACAAGGAGGTAACACAACAAATGCACATCAAAGAGGAAGCATTTGGAGGCGGCTACAATGTAATGCAAAGACAGAAAGAGATCACAGCAGCTCTTGTTCAAAAGCCACGTTCAGTATCTATGCCAGCTAGAGACATTCCAGTATTTGATGGGAGTCATCTTCTTCTTCTTCTCTTCATTTAATGGCGGATTACAACCAGCGTTTTAAGTGGGAGTCCTCTTGAATACCGAGCCTTCATTTGAGCATTTGCAGGGAAGACGAGACCTTTAGTAATGGTGATTGCTTGTACGTTTTGGAGCAGATCACTCGAGCACATTCAGCAAGTAAAAGGTGTGGTACTGGATATAAATAATTCCGAGGTGTGTCCTTTTATTGCTTGGCACCTTCCCCGCAAAATGTCTGAGCATGTCCTTGTTTTTTATAAACAAGTTTTCTTTCATTCCTGATACATGTGTTATCAGTGTCACTTCCTGTTTCCACTGTGGAAGGTAAAAGTTTCTCACAGAAGAGACACGTTCGGACGAGTTATTTTCAGCCAAGTTAGCATTATATCTTGGAACCAAATATCTAGCCTAATTTTTCATTCATCACTCTGAGCTGACAAGAAGCTTGAAGTTATGGCTGACAGCCGACAGGAAGTGGACAGAGAAGAAGGAAACCAGGAGCCCCAGGGCACCATGGGTTGGAAAGGTATGTGAACCCGTGTACAGAGCAGCCTTTTTCAATAACTATATTGGAAAGCAAAACGAGCTAACTAAAAAATGTATTTGTCCAACTAAGGGACTGTTCTTCCTTTATCAGAGGAGGGGGTGGAAGCTAAAAATATTTTTATCATGAACCTCCCTGAGTGACTGGCAGAAAATCCATGACCCTCCCTCCACCAAGAAATTAGTTATTCGACTTATAAAACGTACCCTTTTATGTTTGAAAGTTTAAAGTTAAAGATGTAATCCTGGAGTTGAAAAAAAGCCTGACTTTAGATCAGACACAGAATAAAGTGATTTTGATGAAATATCACAATTCTAAGCTCAGATTGGGTGATTGGTTTTATTTGAATTTTTTTTGATGGAAGCGTTCGTCAGCATACAGTACAGGCCAAAAGTTTGGACACACCTTCTCATTCAATGCGTTTTCTTTATTTTCATGACTATTTACATTGTAGATTCTCACTGAAGGCATCAAAACTATGAATGAACACATGTGGAGTTATGTACTTAACAAAAAAAGGTGAAATAACTGAAAACATGTTTTATATTCTAGTTTCTTCAAAATAGCCACCCTTTGCTCTGATTACTGCTTTGCACACTCTTGGCATTCTCTCCATGAGCTTCAAGAGGTAGTCACCTGAAATGGTTTTCCAACAGTCTTGAAGGAGTTCCCAGAGGTGTTTAGCACTTGTTGGCCCCTTTGCCTTCACTCTGCGGTCCAGCTCACCCCAAACCATCTCGATTGGGTTCAGGTCCGGTGACTGTGGAGGCCAGGTCATCTGCCGCAGCACTCCATCACTCTCCTTCTTGGTCAAATAGCCCTTACACAGCCTGGAGGTGTGTTTGGGGTCATTGTCCTGTTGAAAAATAAATGATCGTCCAACTAAACGCAAACCGGATGGGATGGCATGTCGCTGCAGGATGCTGTGGTAGCCATGCTGGTTCAGTGTGCCTTCAATTTTGAATAAATCCCCAACAGTGTCACCAGCAAAACACCCCCACACCATCACACCTCCTCCTCCATGCTTCACAGTGGGAACCAGGCATGTGGAATCCATCCGTTCACCTTTTCTGCGTCTCACAAAGACACGGCGGTTGGAACCAAAGATCTCAAATTTGGACTCATCAGACCAAAGCACAGATTTCCACTGGTCTAATGTCCATTCCTTGTGTTTCTTGGCCCAAACAAATCTCTTCTGCTTGTTGCCTCTCCTTAGCAGTGGTTTCCTAGCAGCTATTTGACCATGAAGGCCTGATTGGCGCAGTCTCCTCTTAACAGTTGTTCTAGAGATGGGTCTGCTGCTAGAACTCTGTGTGGCATTCATCTGGTCTCTGATCTGAGCTGCTGTTAACTTGCGATTTCTGAGGCTGGTGACTCGGATGAACTTATCCTCAGAAGCAGAGGTGACTCTTGGTCTTCCTTTCCTGGGTCGGTCCTCATGTGTGCCAGTTTCGTTGTAGCGCTTGATGGTTTTTGCGACTCCACTTGGGGACACATTTAAAGTTTTTGCAATTTTCCGGACTGACTGACCTTCATTTCTTAAAGTAATGATGGCCACTCGTTTTTCTTTAGTTAGCTGATTGGTTCTTGCCATAATATGAATTTTAACAGTTGTCCAATAGGGCTGTCGGCTGTGTATTAACCTGACTTCTGCACAACACAACTGATGGTCCCAACCCCATTGATAAAGCAAGAAATTCCACTAATTAACCCTGATAAGGCACACCTGTGAAGTGGAAACCATTTCAGGTGACTACCTCTTGAAGCTCATGGAGAGAATGCCAAGAGTGTGCAAAGCAGTAATCAGAGCAAAGGGTGGCTATTTTGAAGAAACTAGAATATAAAACATGTTTTCAGTTATTTCACCTTTTTTTGTTAAGTACATAACTCCACATGTGTTCATTCATAGTTTTGATGCCTTCAGTGAGAATCTACAATGTAAATAGTCATGAAAATAAAGAAAACGCATTGAATGAGAAGGTGTGTCCAAACTTTTGGCCTGTACTGTATGTCCAAGAACCGTCTGAAATTTGAAAATCCAAGAGTATTTCTGTTTTTACAGTTTGTCGCTGTGATAAATGGTGTACTTTTGTTGCCTTCCAAACCTGCTGTATTTGGAAGACTTGTTTTCTTTAAAAATCAATAAATACAAAATACAACCACTTAAGTTTCTTTGCCCCTCCCTTACGCCAAAATAAAAATATGCAAGTCCCTCCTCAGTGCTTAAAAAATTATTTGACATGCCTCCCCCTTTTTGCACAACCCTCTCCCCTTCTCATGAATAATGAACAGTCCCTGAAGCTACTTAGTAGCTCAAACTAACATTACTTTGTAAAAAATATAATACAAATACATAATACAAAGTGTCATGCTAGCAAAAATTGTCACTCAGATTATTTTATTGCAAAATGTGCCCCCTCAAGGATCAATCATCAGACTTGGCCTCCAAATTCCCCAATTCTTTTAAGCATCCATGGGACGTGTCTGTACCCCACACAACCCACAGCACTCAAAGGATGTGCCACCTTCCGCCATTTTGAGTATGGAAGGAATATAACACATTTTTTCTACACATTTAAACAAACAGTGCAGATGATTGAAATGATTGTGGGTATTTATCAGTCTTGTCATTGTTCCAGATGTCATTGCTGACCGCATCCTGGTGCGAGCAGAAGTTATTTTTAGAGGGTAAGTCTCAACAACAACAACAACAACAACAATATGAATAATATTAATAATCTATTATATTTATATATAATATATGTATACTTATATAATTTATATGTATTTTTAATTTATACAGCACTTTTCAAAACAAGGTAACAAAATGCTTCACATGCTACACAGCCCTCTGACATCATCAGTATGCTGCTCCTGTGCTACTTTCAAAATTCCTTTGCGCTTCTTCAGAGCTAAGCTAAGTTTACCAAATTGAAGTTAGTAAAACTGAACAAAAATTGTATAGTTTAATGTTACTGAGGATTTTGTTCAGTTGTACTAACTTCACTTTGGAAAACTTAGCTTAGCTCGACTTTCTGAGGGTCCCCCTGGTATTTTTGTGCCCTTTTTCAAATTGATGCCGCTATGGGTGCAGATCATTTATGTCACCTGCCACCAGCCTTCAGGTAGGTATCTTAAAGGATAGGATACTTTAGGTTCCTATTTTCCAAGTCCAGCAACACTAACATGTCTTTATGTACATCAGAAAAGTCGTAGTTAGTAATTTCTTATTAAATTCCTGCTCAAATATGTGGTGTTTCCTTAGTGAAGCAGTTTTCTCTGTCCTAGGTATGTGATTGAACGTTTTAAAGCGGAGGAGCCTGGTCGACACATTTCCCCTGAGCTTCTGGGAGGAAGGCCAAATGAACAACAGGATCCACAAATCAAAGAAGTGGTGCAACAGTTGATCAAGATGACAAATGACATAGACAAGAACATTGAGCTCCGACGGTAAGCTGTGCATCATACAAACACAAAGACCCCATCGGTCAACAGATCCGTTGTTTATTGATAAGTCACAGTACCTGATGTCAGTCAACAGAAGCTCTTTCATAGTTTTTACGCAGCAGCCATAGGCAGATTGCAGACTGAAAATCCTCAGTCTCTGGTTTGGTCACAGTTTTGACTGCATATTATGTAAAGCAGATGTTTAAATAATACACAAACCTTGTTTGCTTGACTGAGGAGGAATGACCTTTGTTCACACCAACACTCAAATGCAGATCTATCTTTAAATGTGTTTTCATCCACCAGTTTTCCTCCTTTATTAATCAGACCCACCCCAGCCTCTGAACAGAAATATGGGCATTGAGACATTCTTCATGACGACCGACCACATCCATTTCAAAGTCATCTGAGAACTAGGGATGTGCCAATATCAGAATTTCTGAAGTGTAACAATTTCAATGAAACGTAAAATGAAAAGTAAAATGTACCATTTTTACACTGGATTTTATTGCAACTTTGTTGGACTCTCTGAAATAACCAACATTAAAAATACTTCAAAAAAAAATCAAAATCAAAATGCTATAAAGGAAGGAGTGCTGTGCTTTGTTCACATTGCCATCTAAAACAATGACAGTTATGGTAATAATGGAAATGATCGGTGTTTTGGCAAGTTTTACCTTCAATTAATTGAGTACAGTATAATATATCGTAAAACTGCTGTACCAGAACTTATCTACTGTGAACACTACTCATGATGCAAGTGAAATCCAATCTAAACATCAGCACATTTGATTCTGTCCATTTCTTCTTGTCAGACTGATCAACCAGATTCCAAGCAACTGTGCTCAGGACATCTTCATGAAGGTGGCCAGGAGCATCTTTACTGATGGCATCAACTGGGGTCGAGTGGCGGCTCTCTTCAGTCTGGCCTACAGACTCATTCACAAGGTACCACACAGAAACAGATACTTCACGGAGCAGCGCTTATTAACAGGGCTGCATTCTAGATTCTAGATTTTTAAAGTCAGGTACCATTTTTTAAGATGTTGATACCCAGTGGTTGCCCTTTGGGTTCAACTGATGATCTTAACGTCAAACAGTGCAGTTCAGCAGTGAAAAGAGCTTTTTTCTTTTTCATAGAAAAATAACTTATTCCACTGTCACTTAGCGCTGAACTTAATGGCCTGAATATAGTTTTGATTTTTTTCAGGGTTGAGTGCTGCGGAGCTCCCAAAAGATCACGTGGGATTTTTATGCCTCTGGGCCAGCGACAGCAGTGGCAGAGGCATAAAAATCCCGCCATTTGGCACAAGCGTCCACTTGGACTCAAGGTTGAACTGATTCGAATTTTGTGGTCAAAGGTCAAGGTCACTGTGACCTTACGTCAATCTCAATCTCATGAACACAATATCTCAAGTACACCTTGAATTCATTTCTTAAAATTTGGCACGAACGTCCATTTGGACCCAACCATGAACTGATTAGATTTTGGTAGTCAAAGGTCAAGGTCACTGTGACCTTACGTCCATGTCATTCTCGTGAATATGACATCTCAAGAAGGCCTCTGGGGAATTTCCTCAAATGTGGCAGAAACGTCCACTTGGACTCAAGAATGAACTGATTAGAATTTGGTGGTTAAAGGTCAAGGTCATTGTGACCTCACAAAAAATGTTTTTGGCCATAACCTAAGTATGATGAAATACAAATATGTATCTTCTTTGCAGCAACATCCATATTTGAAGCATTGTCAACTGTCCTTGCCGCATATGAGTCTGGACAGACATGGATGTAAACTTTAACTGATAGCTGACCACGAGGCAGTAATTCTAATTTTAGTCTGTCCCCGTCAGATGCTTTAGATGTGTTGCCCAGCCCCACTGCCACTTTAAAGTCTCTTCCCTACTGGACAAATAAATAAATAAAAAAGCAACACTAACACCAACTACCATCTGGCTTTTGTCTTTAGTGGTAAAGGTTACAGTCAGCATTCAGTTCCAGGAGAATTGACTCTGCAGTAGTCACGAGTATTTATTAGATCCAGCTTCAATTGGCAGTGATGGAAACATGACTCCTGGGTGGACGCATCAATGTTCATTCCTTTTCTGGCGCATTTCAATGACAAGCCACCACAAATTCCATCAGTTTCTGTCCAACTAGCACTCCAACATTGTGCCAAATTAGTCGGCACCAACTTTGAAAGAGATCAGTAACAGATATAAAAAATATAAAACACAAGTAACTACCGTAACATTTTCACTGGCCTCCATGCTCCTTTCTATGGTTTACTAACCCTGTTTGCTGGTGAGTCATGATATCAAATGTGACACCCAAAAAAACAGAAATGTATACTCGTCTTCCAGCAGTAAGAAAGGTCTATTGCCTATTTTTAGCAAGTTTTCCTGTGTTTAAAAAACTCAAAAACATATAGATTACATGCTAATTTTGGTGGAAGACGGGTGTAAGATTTAATTCTTACATTTGGGTACGCACAGAAATCTGTCTCTAGTAGTCCAGAGTTTCAGGATATTCTTAAGGTCTTGGGGCTTTTGTTTTAAAGGAACTGATCACCAACCATCCAGAGAACATCAGGCCAATTATAAGATGGTTTCGCCAGTTCATCAGAGAGCATCTCTACTCTTGGCTCGTACAGCAGGGAGGCTGGGTGAGTGATGCATTTTCCACAAGGATCTGCCAGTTGTGTGCTCTATTCGTCTACAATTAAATTATGGTCTAATGTAACAACTTGTCAGTAGGATCCAAGGCTCCTAATCTTGCTGTCTTGATCTTTCCAGGTGGGTGCGATCATTGGTGTTCCTTGGTGGAGGACAGCAGCCATAGTAGCATCATTAGCAATGGTAGTAGCTATTGTTTACTACAGAGAGACGCGCTGAGAGCACCGGACCTTACAACCTCGTAACCAGGGCTGCAGTCCCGTCTCCTGGATAAACGCAGCTCATTGATAAAGACTAACGAGTTTCTGGACATTAATAGTAGTTAACCAGGCCTGTACTGTTTTTTAGACACGTGCATGGCTGCAAGATTACAAGATTTTAAAACCATTATGGTTTTCTCCAACTACAGTGGCATGCAAAATTTGGGCACCCATGGTCAAAATTTTGTTTACTGCAGGGGCGGACTGGCCATCGGGAGGTTCTGGAGAATCACAGAACGGCCAGTACTCCAAGACGGCCGGCGGCCGCCACGCAGTCATCACCGTTTTTTTTAAATGTTTTTTTTTCTCTTTTTCTCCCCGATAATCTACTGTTCCACGTCCAGTCCGCTAGGTGGCAGCCTTTAAATTGGATGCCAGTCGGCCCATAGATATCTATGAGCCAGCCGGCCGCCAGTCAAATTGAAGAAGAAGGAAGCATACCGTATGCGCACCGGTTGTTGTGGGCTGGGCCGAGTCAAAGTCCAGGGCTGTTTTTTAGTCCCAGTCTGCCCCTGGTTTACTGTGAATAGTTAAGTTAGTAGAAGATAAACTGATCTCCAAAAGGCATGAAGTTAAAGATGAAACATGCATTTTAAGCAGGATTGGTGTATTATTTTGGTTTTGTACAATTTTAGAGTGAAAAAATGAAAGGAACACCCTGCAAACATTTGGGCACCCAAGACATTTGAGCTCTCGGACAACTTTTACCAGGGTCTCAGACCTTAATTAACTTGCTAGGGCTCTGGCTTGTTCACAGCCATCGTTAGGAAAGGCCAGGTGATGAACTTTTTCTCTCCCATAAATAAAATAACTGATGCCCATAAAGTATGAGAAGACAATAAGAAGATAGCAAAGTGTTTTCAGGAAGCTGTTTCCTCAGTTCGTAATGTCATTAAGACATGACAGTTAACAGGAACTATGGTGGTCAAGTTGAGGTCTTGAAGACCAAGAAAACTTTCTGAGCGAGCTGCTCCTGGAATGTCTAGAAAGGCAAATCAACACCGCTGTTTGACTGCAAAAGACTTGCAGGAAGATTTATCAGACTCTGGAGTGGTGGTGCACTGCTCTACTGTGCAGCCACACCTGTACAAATGTGACCTTCATGGAAGAGTCATCAGGAGAAAACCTTTCCTGTGTCCTCACCACAAAATTCAGCGTCAGAAGTTTGTAAAGGAACATCTAACCAACCCTGATGCTTTTTGGAAACAAGTCCTCTGGACTGATGAAGTTAAAATAGAACTTTCTGGACAAAAGGAGCAAAGGTATGTTTGGAGGAAAAAGGAACACCTGTCCAACTGTCAAACACGGGGGTGGATGGATCATGCTTTGGGCTTGTGTTGCAGCCAGTGGCACAGGGAACATTTCACAGGTAGAGGGAAGAATGGATTCATTCTGGAAGCAAACATCACAGCATCTGTAAAAAAGCTGAAGATAAAGAGAGGATGCCTCTACAACAGGACAATGATCCTAAACACACCTCCAAATCCACAAAGGACAACCTCAAGAGGAGCCAGCTGGAGGTCTTGCCGTGGCCCTCACAGTCCCCTGGCCTAAACATCACTAAAAATCTTTGAATAGACCTCAAAAGAGCAGTGCATGAAGATGGCCCAAGAATCCCAAAAATCTCACAGAGCTAGAAGCTTTTTTCAGGAAGAATGTGCGAAAATCCTCCAAACAAGAACTGAAAGAGACTTAGCTGGATACAAGAAGTGTTTAGACACTGTGATACTTGCCAAAGGGGGCGCTACTGAGCACTGACCATGCAGGGTGCCCAAACTTTTGCTTCAGGCCCTTTTTGTTTTTTTGTTACTTTGAAACTGGAAAATATCGAATTGAAACGTGATCTTGCTTAAAATATTGAAGGAATGTTTCATCTTTAACTTCATGCCTTCTGGAAATCAGTTCATCTGCTTACTTTTGACCATGGGTGCCCAAACTTTTGCATGCCACTGTACGTATATATAAAGCTGGATAAAGTAACAAAGGCAAGTGCTATACATCATTGTGAAGCAAATTCATGTGTACCACGGTGTCTGGACATATCTGATAGACAAACAGAGTCACAGGCCCTTTCCAGAACAGTCTTCGGTCTTGAGAAGACCTATATTTAGCTATCTCAACAGAATCCAAAAGAGCTGTAAAGTGGAAGAGGTTTAACCACAATTCCATAAAATGTTGGCACGCTGTGTAAAATGTAAGCAAAAAAAAAAGAATGCAATGATCAGCAAACTCTATTCAGTTGAATACAGTACAAACACAAGAAAGTTAATGTCCAGATTCATAAACTTTAAGAAGTTCCAAAAAAGTTTAGACAGGAGCATGTGTACCACTGTATTACATCACCTTTTCTTTTAAAGACACTCAGTAAGGGTTTGTTGAAGTTTTGAAGTGAAATTCATTCCAGTTTTTGCTTGATATATGTCTTCAGTTACTCAACAGTCCAGGGTATTTTGCGCTTCATAATGTGCCACACATTTTCTATGAGAGTCAGGTCTAGACCTAAGGCAAGCGAGTCTGGTATCCAGACTCTTCTACTACCATGCCACGCTGTTGTAACACATGCAGAATGTGTGTCATTAGCTGTGTCTCAATTCAGGAGCTGCAGCCTTTGAAAGACATGGCCTTTGCAGTGGACGTCGGCCACGTCCTTTCAAGACCGTGTCAGCCAAAACGAATGGTCTCCGAAATGGGACGGTTTGGTAGGCAGAGGATTTCCTGGTTCACCAGTTATTCTCACTCCAACCCATTGGTGTTCCTGTTACCTGTGCTTGATGAAAAAAGGAGTAAGCTAGTAAGTTATTTAGCCCCAAATCATGGACCCAGAGATTGTTATTATATATTTTTTTTAATTTAATACTTGAGGAGATTATTCACCACCAGAGACATCGCTGTTTGATATATTTCAGGTAAAGTTATTAAATTAAGAATGTTTAAGCTGTGTGCTTGTAGCTATTAGTAATGTTAGCAACAGTTAACGTTTAGCTAGTTAAAGGAATAGTGCACCCAAAAATGAAAATTCAGCTATTATCTACTCACCCATATGCCGAGGGAGGCTCAGGTGAAGTTTTAGAGTCCTGACAACACGTCCGGAGATCCTCCAAGGGGAGAGGGGGTAGCAACACAACTCCACCTAATGGAGGCTCGGCGCCCCAGATTCAAATGACGTTTTGCCAAACAACTTTTTATGTCAGAGCTTCAGGACACTTGGATCACTACGGACGAGCAGTATGGAGATATTTTGTGGTTTCAATTATGTGTTTTTAGACGTTTGAATCTGGGGCGCCGTCAGCCTCCATTAGTGGAGTTGTGTTGCTACCCCCTCTCCTCTTGGATCTCTGCAAGTGATGTGAGGACTCTAAAACCTCACCTGAGCCTCCCTCAGCATATGGGTGAGTAGATAATGGCTGAATTTTCATTTTTGGTTGTTGTTGGCTGTTAGTTAACTTAACTTAATATATAATCATCACCGGCATACAATGAATCTTGGAATAGGCTGGGCCACAAAGGATTCATCCGTTGCATCCTCCACATTCTGGGAAAGAAGGCTGAATTTCTTGGCAGCATTTGAAGGAGTCTACGAAATGGGACAGCCTTGGTCGCGCCAATGCAACACAATCGGTCTTCCAATGCAGCCCTTGAAGGCAGCAGCCCCTGAATCGAGACACAGCTGCTGTGTTGCCTGTGTAAGTAGAGACGTCCCTGAAAAAGACATCGTCTGGATGGCAGCATGTGTTGCTCCAAAACCTGTTATGTACCTTTCAGTATTCATGGTGCCTTGACAGATGTGTAAGTTAGCTATGATGCCAGTCTGGATGGTCCTTTTCCTCTTTAGCCTGGAAGACACAATGTCCATGATTTCCATGAACAGTCTGAAATATGGACTTGACAGACTGCAGGACACTTCTCCACTTCGTGTCAGTCGGTTTGAGATGAACTTGGGTGCAGAGAAATCAGCTGCATTTCATCATTTAACCATCTGAAGTTTTTGCTTTTGCTCACAATATTACAGGCTTGACTCACCCAACATCACTGTCGAGTTATCTTTTATTTTTAGCGTGGTTGCTCTGTGCATTATTTCATCTTAATGTACTTCTAGAATGGATTTTTTTAATGAACAGATCCTGGTAGATTTTTAAACATGTAAAACCTCAGTGAGTGTTAGCAAAAAACTCTATGTCCTTCCTAAATTTGTAATGATCTTAATTTAGATTCATAAGGTGAACACATGAGGAGAGGACCAGACTGTTTGAGCACAAGAAATCTTTCTTCATAGTTCTGAAGTTAATAGATAAAGAAATAATTATCTTTTAAACTAATGCTTTGTGCTTATTGCAATGTGTAATAACACTGTTTACATGCTGTTTATCTGTAGTTATCTGCTACTGATTATTTCATTGCTCAAAAAGAATCTCACTGGACTCCATTTCTGAATAAATAAAAAAATGTGTTATACCACTCATTGCTTGTTGTGTGAATGTTCTGAGTCATCTTGGTCATGGAAAATCTAGTCCGTTACTATGTCTTACTCAAGCTCTGGGATGTTTATGGTGATATGGAAACCCCATGACAACCTTGTGGAGCATCCTTGACTGTCGGGTCAGCAGTACTGCCACAAGGGGGGAGGAAAGATCCAACCATAAATCCTGCAGCCTGCAGAAGCCTTTCATCATCTTATGTAGAAATACAAACATTATATGACACACTATACTCTTTTTCTTTCTTAATGAGATACTATACTATTACTATTTTATGATATACTATACTATGACTTTTATGACATCCTGTGCCATGCGTTTTTATGACATAATGTAAATTTACTTTGTATGACGTACTATACCATACTATATGCCTTTTATATGACGACCATTACTTTTTCATGACAGACTATACTCTAGACATTTTAAGACATTATATACTATTATTTTTGTATGACATACTACACAATTACTTTCTTATTAC